AATTATATTTGTTTTTATTTCTTTCTTCATAATCATAATTATATTTATTTTTATTTCTTTCTCCATAATTATTTTTATCTTTATTTCTTTCCTCATAATTATATTTATTTAATCTTCTTTCTTCATAATTATATTTATCTTTGTTTATATTTCTTTCTTCATTATTATATTTATCTTTATCTATATTTCTTTCTTCATTATTATAATTATATTTATTTGAATTTCTTTCCTCATGATTATAATTATAATTATATTTATTTTTATTTCTGTCTTCATAATTATATCTATGTGAACTTCTGTCTTCATAATTATAATTGTATTTACCTTTATTTGAATTTTTATTTTTATTTATTTCTTTATTTACTTCTTTATTTGTTTCTTTATTTTTATTTATTTCTTCATTTAAATTTCTTTCTTTACTTTTATTCATTTCTTTGTTTTTGTCTTTTTCTGAACTTCTCCATTTCTCCTTTTCTTTTTCTCCTCCTGTGTCTCCTCTTCCACTTGCTGCTGCTGCTGCTGCTGCTGCTGCGCTTTTTGCTGCAGCCCTGTCAGCAGCAGCTGAAGTTTCTTCATTTCCTCTTCTGTTCCCCTTTGACTGCTCCTGCTGCTGCTGCTGCAGCAGCAGCTGCTGCCGCTGCTGCTCCGACTTGGCCAGCGTGGCTCCGTCTTTTCTTCTCAGCTTCTTTGCCCTGCCCTTTTTGTGCTTCTTGCTGCTGCTACTGCTGCTGTCGCCGTCGCTGCTGCTGCTGCTGCTACTGCTGCTGCTACTGCTGCTGCTGCTGCTGCTGCTGTCTCGAGCACGGCGGCGCTTGTGAGCGTTGGCCTCGGGGTCAGCCTTGATAGGCAGGCCCTGCTGCTGCAGCGGCAGCTGCTGCTGCTGCTGCTGCAGCTGCTGCTTCTGCTGCTCCAAGTGCTGCCGCTGCAGCACTTCGGGGTCCACGGGTTCAGATTTGACCGCGAGCAGCAGCTGTGCTTCTGCTGCTGCTGCTGCTGATGGTGCTACTGCTGCAGCAGCTGCTGCTGGAGCTGCTGCTGCTGCTGGAGCTGCTGCTGCTGCTGCTGGAGACGGCTCCCGCTTCTTCACCTTCGCTAAGGCTGCGCGGGCAGAGGCCCTGCTGCTTTTGCTGCTGCTGCTGCTGCTGCTGGTGCTTGTGCTGCTGTCGCTGTCGCTGCTGCTGCTGCTGCTGCTGCTGCTGCTGGTGTCGCTGTCACTGTCGCTGCTGTCACTGTCGCTGCTGCTGCCGCTGCTGCTGTCGCTACTGCTGCTGCTGCTACTGCTGCTGCTGCTACTGCTGCTGCTGCTGCTGCTGCTGCTGCTGCTGCGCTTCTTTGCTGCTTTTTTGGCAGCGCGGTATATCTCTGCTTCTTCTTGCTTCAGTTTTTCAACAAGTCTTCGGTCTCTGTACCAGTCTCCATCAGTTATCCTGCACGTAAACCACGAATTAGGGTTTAGGGTTTAGGGGCTGAGGCTTGCAGGCTAGGGTTTGGCCCCTCACGGCAGTGAAAGACTAAACCCTAAACCCTAAACCCTAGAGGCCCACATAGGAATCTCGGGAGCGTCATCGGCAAACACAGGTTTGGGGTTCAGTCGAGGGTTTCTGCAGCAAACCACAAACCCTAAGCCCTAAACCCTAAACCCTTGACAGCCGATATGGAACAGCACAGCCCCCTAGTATAAGCGAAAATTGAGGCTTTTAGGGTTTAACTCCTAGTTTTTGGGGCCCACAGCTTAGGGTTTAGGGTTTAGGGTTTAGGGTTTAGGGTTTAGGGTTTAGGGTTTACCTCAAAATTTGGGTCCTCGTGGGGCGCTGTAGATACACCCGGCGGTTTTTGCACTGGTATGTCCAGCTGTACAGACACCTTAGCAGCAGCCCTAAACCCTAAACCCTAAACCCTTATTTTCAATTCCCAAACCCTCAGCCCTAGAACCCAAACCCTATACCCTGAACACTAACGCCAATGCTCTACCAACTCCAGATATCTCTGCGGAGTAAAGGAGGGTTTAGAGTATAGAGTCTCGCGTCTACGGTTTAGGAGGGTTTAGGGTTTAGGGTTTAGGGTTTACTCACTGGCCATACTGCATACACTTCTGGCACTCTGCCTTGGCCGCATCCTGAGAGCCGCAGTAACCCCAAAAACCTAAACCCTAAACCCTAAAGCCTAAACCCTAACACCTCAAAAGTTGTCTTCCATTGGGATGCTGCTTCTTATCACACAGAGCAAATGACGCACAATTTAGGGCTTAGGGTTTGGGGTTTAGGGTTTAGGGTTTAGGGTTTAGGGTTTTGGGCAGGCCTACCTTCTGCGTGGCCTTGAAGACGTTGAGCTCCATTTCAGCGGCGACCACTCAGGCTCCGAGCAACTCGGAGCCTAGGGCCTAGGGTTTAGGGTTTAGGGTTTAGGGTTTAGGGTTTGGCGTTCGGGATTTTAAAGGAAGAGATCCGACGCGCCTAACCCAAACCCCCGGGAAAAGAGTAAAATAACACTCAGTAAACTGGGGTTTAGTGTTTAGGGTTAAGCATTTAGGGTTTAGGGTTTAGGGTTTAGGATTTAGGAGTGTTTAGGGTTTAGGGCTTTCGGGCTCCCGGCGGCAGCCCTGCATGCAGCCCATGCCAGCAAACCATAGCCGTAATCTTGTACTCAAATCTAAACCCTAAACCTTAAACCCTAAACCCTAAACCCTAACTTTTAAACCCTAAACCCTAGACCCTAGGCAGCATGCAGCTGCAGGCTCTCAATAGGAAGCAGCCGACAACGCGCTCATGTCAGGGTTTAGGGTTTAGGGTTTAGGGTTCAGGGTCTAGGGTTTAGGGTTTCGTACATCCGGCTCATTTGTTCTGTCTTTCGAGAGATTAAAAAAAAGGGTGAAGCTGCAATGAGAAACAGCAGAAGCCCGAGTT